TCAAAAAGTGGTTAACTAGTAAAATGTTTATCAGGATGTCAGCAACATTTTACTAGTTAGCCACTTTTTGATATCTTTCACACAAGCCGAGACATGACGGGTCCAGGGCGACGATCCGGGTCTCGTTCTATTAGAGGTTTTACGGTGTGTCTGGAAATTTTGAAGAAGGATGTAAACTTTGAAAGCCATCCGGTCAAAAGAACAAAACACAATTTCCCAAGCGAAAATAATTGATAATAGATAATAGAACCTGAATTTAAAAATTGCTCTGGACTCGTCAAGTTTAGGCTTGTTTTCGAGCTCGATACTCCAAAATTTAGATATTGTGTTCTCAAAAAGGTACCAGTCATTTTTCAAACAGTCAGAATCGTTTTTAGAGAATTATGGTGCATCGACTAGTCAAATTTAGGTATATTTTGAAGCTCAAAATTAGAAAAGTCTGAAAATCAAATTTCCACAGAATCCCAAGTACGTTTAAGTAATATAGAGCTATCTAGAAGCATATACATCTTGTGTCATCGTCATCGAGCATTTCCTTTCTGTAAGCTAGCTCAGAGTCAGTTGCTGTGGTTCCCATGGTCCCAAATAGACGCATTTTCTAAATGCATAGACTCCAAAATTAGTGCTCCCAAAAGTCTCTTATCTGACGTCTTTCCACATGTTTTCAAGCAATTATACCACGATATCAACCTCAAAAATAAACTTTTGGATTGTTGACGACATGGATGTTTCCAGAAAATCAAACTACATAGAAATTAGATATTTGAATTAAACGGTTTAAATATTCTTGAAAACTTCAAAATAGTCAGAAAGTTTTAGAGAAGTTTGGAAGTTGAAAAGTCACCAAGATTCATGGAGAAGACTTTTTTCAGATTTTTTTCCACATTTTTTCAGATTTTTCAGATGTTCCCTTCTTTGAAATTGACCTAGAACTAATTTCCTACTGTACAGTTATACATTCGTCATTTTCAGCTCATATCCGGACCTTTCAGAATCCGTCACGTCATCTGTATCTCAACCTTATCACTTTATTTCCCAGAATCATTAAAACAATTCGAATCACGAGTTAGTTAACGCCTTCAGATTCCCTTAAGGATTACTCATTAGAATATTCCAGACATGGGCGTGGTTTAGAGCAGGGTAGATTTCAGCTCCGCCCATTCTACCTTCCAGCAAGCTCCGCCCCGTCTATAGGATCTCTCAGACTCCATTCGTGAGTTTATGTCTACTTCATACCCTTGCCTTGAACCGCAGCTTTCCAGACTTTCATTTTCCGGCGATATTTTTTCAAATTTCAAACTTTTCAGCTCACTTGCTTCTAACTTTCGCTATGAACTCTGCTATCATCTTCTCTCTCTTCGCCATCGTCGGCATCGTCATGTCCGACTCCTTCCGCCGTCAGTTGCCGGACGACATCAATAATGTCCTCCCGGATCTGGACATCACCCCATACGGGCTCGGCTTCCTTGAGGCCCAACTTCAGGTGGTCAACGCCCTCCAGCACATGGAGAGCCCGCAACAGCAGGAGCATCGTATTGCCAAGAGCCGGCTGCCACGTGGATTCCGCCTCTGTGGAGCTACACTCAATCGCAATGTCCTCGATTTTTGTGGGGAGCCGTGCCAGGCTGGTGAGTAGAGATAGTGAAGCAATTCTTAGTATCTTGGGAACTTAGTAACTTAGTGAGCAACTAACTCCAAACTTCTTTCAGGAGGGGAAATCGACATCGCAACTCTCTGTTGCTCCAGAAAGTGCACATTGGCCAACATCAAGGAGGCATGCTGCCCATGATCATCTGCCCATTCAAGTTCCCTTCGATGTCTTATCCTCTGATGGTACCCCAATGCTCGTCCGTGACTTTCAGCTCCCAACTTCCCGTCTTCTCTTCGTCGTTTTTTGATCTCATTCAATTTTTTGTTCAGCTTTATTTATCCCGATCCTCAAATTCTTCAGTTTTACATTCCCAATAAACCAATTGTTAATTAGAGAATTTCAAATAGAGGGTTCCAATAAAATAGAGTCCAGAAGTCTTCGTTGTGTCCTCTCCGCTGAAATGAGCAGCAATTGAAAGTCCCTCCTTCAGAATCTGCGCTCTGACAAGCTCATCGTGATCTGCAAAACTTTCAGAATGGCTTCGGAAGGTTCCATGACGTCTTCGGATAGCTAAAGAACCACATCCGTAGGTATCTTGACAATGATAAGCTCGTCGTGATCTGTAAACGCTTCAGAATCGTTGTACACGTTGCTAGAGAACTCCACAACGTCTTCTAACTAGCTACGCTTCAAAAAAAACCTCCAGAAGATTCAATGACCATGACGTCTTATGAACTTCCAGGTCTTGCAAAACCACATCTTTCTCCAATTTTAGAATTCCCAGACTTCCCTTGTCATCAATCGACACAAACCACATCAAATTAGGAAGAGTTTGAGATCGCACAAAATTTCATTTTGAAGACATGAATCAGCTTGGCATACCTAACAAACAATGATTTAAATGACGATGAGTAAAAGAGACTTGGTTGCAATTTGCAGATTTCAAATTTCGAAAAACTTCAAGAGCAAAGAATCAGAATCAAAATGGCCTTACTATAAGAACTCTGTCTGGAATATCTGAAGATCGATGTAAGTTTTGAAGGTCAAAAGATTGTGCATATTGGGTCATTGATCACTTTCCTTTTGGCTAGCTCAATATCAGTTACTGCAATTCCAATGGCCAGGGAATCCAAAAGCTATTTTCAGTTTTTTTAGAACTACGCTTTTCAAATACCTCAACTTTTCGTAGTTTGATTTTCTGGAATCATCCATGTCGTCAACAATCCAAAAGTTTGTTTTTAGAGCTGATATCGTGGGATAATTGCTGGAAAAATATGTCGAAAGACGTAAGAGACTCTTGGGAGTACAATTTTTGGAGCCTACGCGTTTTGAAATTTCTTCAATTTTGGGATCATTGAAACGGCAGTAACTGAAATTGAGCTAGAAAATTAGGAAAATGCTCAATGACACAAGAAGGATATGCTTCTAGATAGTTCTCCATTCTTGAACTTTTTGAAACTTTTTGAAAACTGGAACTTTTTGAAAACACAATATCTCAAATTTTCAATATTCGAGATATAAAGTAAGCCCAAACTTGACTAGTCCAAGACATTTTATCTATTATCACGATTTCCGTGTGGAATACTGATTGGTCCCTTCAACCTTTAGACCTTCAAAACTTTATCCATCTTCAGAATTTCCAGACATGGTTCTTATAGTAAGACCATTTACATTCTGATTCTTTGCTCTTGAAATTTTTCGATATTTGAAATTTGCAAATTGCAACCTAGTCATTTAAATCATTGTTTGTTAGGTATGCCAAGCTGATTCATGTCGGCAAAATGAAATTTATTCGAGTTTTGTTCTTTTGACCGGATGGCTTTCAAAATCTATATTCGTCTTCTAAATTTTCAGACATAACTCTCGAATTAGCAAGATGAATCAGTTTGACATATCCAACATTCATTGAGGTGACGATGAATTAGAGTGACATGATTTCTTTGAGAAGAGTCTGCTTTCAAGAATGCTCCTAAACCCGGAAGCTGAAAACATGTAACATCAGTTTCGATAGAGTGTTTGGCTCCGAAAATTCTGCTCACAGGAGTCTCTTGACGTTTTTTGAAATATTTTTCCAGCAATTATCCCACGATATCAACTCTAAAAACAAAAGTTTGGACTGTTGCTAACATGGAAGATTCCAGAAAATCAAACTTTGAAAAGATGGGGATTCTGAAGGATGGAAGGAAGTCGGAAGGGTTCCTGAACAGTCTAAAGAAACGTTTTTGGTTTTTGAAATTCTTCTAAATAGTGAACGTTCAAAAAGAACGCTCTGGCAAATTCTTTTTTTTAGGTTTTTTGACACTTGATGAGCTTTTCAGTGTTTAGTATGTTTTTGAAGATCCCAAATATTTTCCATGTCATCAAAAAATTTATGGATTTTGATTTTTTAATTTGTAGTTTGATGTCATACCCAAATGATCATCCAAAAATCATCAGGTCCAGCCAACATGGCTAGGGCAAGTAAACAACTTTTATTTTTCTGAAGAAAAATTCTTAGCTTCATAATTAGGTGATAATTTTTCACATGATAAGGATTTTGGCTTGCAAAAGAAGAAAAATGGGAAAATGGCGAAAACAATAAAATCTCTGAAGTATGAAAATTTGGAAGGGACAGAAAAATAAGAATTCTGAAATTCGGAAATTCGGAAATTCAGAAATTCAGAAATTCAGAAATTCAGAAATTCCAGGAAATTCGGAAATTCAGAAATTCAGAAATTTAAAAATTCAGAAATTCAGAAATTCCAGGAAATTCGGAAATTCAGAAATTCCAGGAAATTCAGAAATTCAGAAAATCCAGGAAATTCAGAAATTCAGAAATTCAGAAATTCGGATATTCAAAAATTCAGAAATTCAGAAATTCAGAATATCAGAAATTCAGAAATTCAGAAATTCAGAAATTCAGAAATTCAGAAATTCAGAAATTCAGAAATTCAGAAATTCAGAAATTCAGAAATTCCAGGAAATTCAGAAATTCAGAAATTCAGAAATTCAGAAATTCCAGGAAATTTGGAAATTCAGAAATTCGGAAATTCAGAAATTCAGAAATTCAGAAATTCAGAAAATTAGAAATTCAGAAATTCAGAAATTCAGAAATTCAAAAATTCAGAAATTCCAGGAAATTCGGAAATTCAGAAATTCAGAAATTCCAGGAAATTCGGAAATTCAGAAATTCAGAAATTTAAAAATTCAGAAATTCAGAAATTCCAGGAAATTCGGAAATTCAGAAATTCCAGGAAATTCAGAAATTCAGAAAATCCAGGAAATTCAGAAATTCAGAAATTCAGAAATTCAGAAATTCAGAAATTCCAGGAAATTCGGAAATTCAGAAATTCAGAAATTTAAAAATTCAGAAATTCAGAAATTCCAGGAAATTCGGAAATTCAGAAATTCCAGGAAATTCAGAAATTCAGAAAATCCAGGAAATTCAGAAATTCAGAAATTCAGAAATTCGGATATTCAAAAATTCAGAAATTCAGAAATTCAGAATATCAGAAATTCAGAAATTCAGAAATTCAGAAATTCAGAAATTCAGAAATTCAGAAATTCAGAAATTCAGAAATTCAGAAATTCCAGGAAATTCAGAAATTCAGAAATTCAGAAATTCAGAAATTCCAGGAAATTTGGAAATTCAGAAATTCGGAAATTCAGAAATTCAGAAATTCAGAAATTCAGAAAATTAGAAATTCAGAAATTCAGAAATTCAGAAATTCAAAAATTCAGAGATTCCAGGAAATTCGGAAATTCAGAAATTCCAGGAAATTCAGAAATTCAGAAATTCAGAAATTTAAAAATTCAGAAATTCAGAAATTCCAGGAAATTCGGAAATTCAGAAATTCCAGGAAATTCAGAAATTCAGAAAATCCAGGAAATTCAGAAATTCAGAAATTCAGAAATTCGGATATTCAAAAATTCAGAAATTCAGAAATTCAGAATATCAGAAATTCAGAAATTCAGAAATTCAGAAATTCAGAAATTCAGAAATTCAGAAATTCAGAAATTCAGAAATTCAGAAATTCCAGGAAATTCAGAAATTCAGAAATTCAGAAATTCAGAAATTCCAGGAAATTTGGAAATTCAGAAATTCGGAAATTCAGAAATTCAGAAATTCAGAAATTCAGAAAATTAGAAATTCAGAAATTCAGAAATTCAGAAATTCAAAAATTCAGAAATTCCAGGAAATTCGGAAATTCAGAAATTCAGAAATTCCAGGAAATTCGGAAATTCAGAAATTCAGAAATTTAAAAATTCAGAAATTCAGAAATTCCAGGAAATTCGGAAATTCAGAAATTCCAGGAAATTCAGAAATTCAGAAAATCCAGGAAATTCAGAAATTCAGAAATTCAGAAATTCAGAAATTCAGAAATTCCAGGAAATTCGGAAATTCAGAAATTCAGAAATTTAAAAATTCAGAAATTCAGAAATTCCAGGAAATTCGGAA